CACTTCTAGAAATCATTTTAAACCTTCATTTGGCTTGAGATATATTCATGCTAGTGTCAGTCGTGTTATGTTCTTCCGTTGTTAGCATATTTGTTTAAAGTACATGTAAACCATGGATACAAAATCTACAATTCTGCAAGACACTGCTGATTTTTTCACTAAATGAATTTATAACTGACTATGAAACATAATATTATTTATGACAATAGGATGTGGCTTCATCTTGGAGTTCCTGCCGTTCCTCCATGCTAATTTCAATGTTTTATTGTTAGGAGCCAACTGGTCAGCAATTAATTATCTCCAACAAAGGTTCATGTGTGCTGGGAAAAAAACAGAAAAACCGAACATCTACTCAGACACTTTGTTAGTAAATTGTAAATTGTTGGTGAACTAGACCTACAAAATGAAAACCGAATTAAACTCGCATTCTAGTCATACTCTGAATATTTTGTTTTATTGATATGAAAAATGAAAGACCAGTTACATGATTGAATATGTATAAATGAATATATGGGAATATACAGGGTACTAAAAATATTAATGTGAAATTTGAAAATATGAAAAAGGTGTCATTGAAAATGAGTATACAAAACAGATACTTAGCAATTTTAAAAGAGTGAATTTCAAACATACCTGGTAGAATCCCTTACAACTCATAAACTGAACCTGTGCTAACAGTTTATAAACTGTGTAGAGAGTAGACCTCAAGAAATTTGGACTCAAAATCTCAACAAAATGCACTGAAACAGGTGTTGGATGTCATAAAATAAATGGATTAATGCCACTGATTATTGCACAATAAATTGGAAATTTAACAGGAAATCATGCTGGGTTTGAAAGATTTCTGTTATGATTCTATTCCACTGAGGTCTATGCAACGGTTCAAAGTTGGACCGGTCCCTTTAATAATAAAGCGGTCACAACAGCAGCAAGTGCAAAATCAACAGCAGGTTTCTTGAAAATACCAACCAAGGTTCCACCAAGACCCACTTGGGTTGTCTGTATATCCTCATCATGTCTTACTTCTTTGTTGTCAGCATCGTCATCGTCATCAAGTTCACTACCATGCTGCTCCGGCTGAGGATTTGTGACAGAGCCACACTTGCTACATCTCCTCGGTAAGATTCCAGAATTGTATAGGGCTAATCCTGAGGGATGTCGAAGGTCTATGAGTCCCACTGATGGAGGTTGTAATGCTTGGTTGTTGGAGTGAGATTCATGATTGGGTGAGGATAGCAAGATGGAATGTTCTCTTGCTACTGAGAGTCTGTCTCTACATTCATGGAATTCCTGCTGAAACAATAGACGGCAAATTGTAAGAAAGCGTTCTGACACTAGCAGCATGGTTACTGGAATTGAAATGAAATAGGGATGTCCTCAAAAAAATATAAAAGTTACAAAATGTGACCCACTCTTTCAAAACCAGGCTGAAGTGGGTAGTTGTGATGTTTGACAATTCCCCTCCTCACTTTTTTCACACTTCAAAGTGACCCATATGTAGAGTCTAAATTCTGTCTCCAGAAAGCTTTATACGGGTAATGATAGCCGTGAAACTTCCACAAGCCTCGAGGGGGATGTCCCCATCCCTCAGGTATGCCATTAGCTTTAACACTTAATGAGTGATTGAGCAACAGCCTCCGACAAGATACACAGAGAAATGGATAATATTTACAAGGCAGAGATACACAGCGTTAATCATCTTCCCGTCATTCTTTTCTTCCTTACAAAATATTCTTTCCTTTTATATCTCAAAAATGTTGAAGGGTCTGACATTTCCATCACAGCAGAATCTTTCTCAAGGGTAAAATTTGTCAAGTTGTGACTTGATAGAGACAAGCGAGAAAGGAATCAACCAATCACAGACGACTGCAGAAAGAAGGACGGGATGGAAAGCTAATGGCTGGATGGGAACAGGGGGACAAGGGACTGTTTGAAAAGGCCTTGGGTAATCAGGACCAAAGGGATGTGGGGAAGGAAAAGATCACAGAATAAGTACGATGGAAGACGGTGGATCCCAGGAGGGTGCATGCAAACAAAGAAAGGAGAGATTGGTGTATTAATAATTAAGTAGTTCCTTGCTTGGATATTCAGCCGGCTGTATGGTCCACTGAGAGGCATTTGGAGCACAGCTCAGTGTTTTCAATAATATCAGGGAAAGAAAAATTATGGTTCAGTCTATAATTTACCTCATGATACGCTTGAAAACGGATCGATTAACTATTTTTCACTTGTTCACAAAAGGAGATATATATGCAACCACACGTATGAAGCCAAACCACAGTAGTTGTGTTTGTATTGCGTATGCCCAATGTGTATTAGACTCGCATTGCAGCTGTTCATCGTTATATCAATAGTAAAATCACCGTCAACCGGTGTGAATTGTGGTAGTCAAGCATTACAGCATAATGATTTGTGATACATAGGGTGTGGGTTCGAATCCCGGGTCAAAATTGTGGGCAGGGAGGTTTTTTTAAAGGAAAATAAAGCCCAAATGTTATAGGAGCCTAATTTCACACGTGAAGTTTTTATGGTTGGTTGAGCATCTAGATGTCAAGCATTGTGCGTGGTTGTGAACCGTGGTTTGGCTTCATCATACGTGTGATTGCAAATATAGCTCACAAAAGGAATCATAACTTTGCTCAGTTAGTTGTGCTGTACATGGACCCCGCCCCCTGCCGCAAGCTAGCTCTACCATGCCATCCAGAAACAAGAAGCGCGCCCTCTACAAAAAATTTTCCTCCGGACACTATTTTTACGGCTGCAAGCAACCGTTTACGTAACCGGCTAGAAATTCTACGGAGGCCCATCACGGCATAGCAGAAAGAGCCCACAAAACGTCCACATGCAAATTACAAAAAAAAAGCAATGTTTAAATAAATCCTTCGCTGGAATGTATCTTAGCTATAAAACAACTCGATGAAATGAGAAATTTTTTTTTCACCAACAGGAAACACAGACCGGAATGTGTACAAAAAAACACTAAGCCTTCGCGCAAATTGGATGAGGGCGCTAATACAGTGAAAGATGGCCCCCAAAAAATGCCTTCGCGAACCGAATCGCAATTTGTATACTGTCAATTTCTCTTTTATTAAGGAAGTTGGTGGCACATGAACTCGGTGGTTTGTCAAAAAGTATAAAATAATATATAAAAAAGAGCGATTTTGATTTGTGCGTTTTCGTGTTTTACACCTTCTAATTAGATTCTGGCATTTTTTTACATCTCTGCTATTAAATTTCATGCTTCTTTACAAACCAACGAGTTCATGTGTCACCAACTTCCTTAATAGAAGAGAAATTGACAGTATACAAATTGCGATTCAGGTGCGTTGACTCCTGAAATCAATTGGGCTGAGACAGCCTGTGGGCCGAATCATTCGAGGCACTAATTAAGTGTGCCCAGGGGTGCCCCTACACATTCCTTAAGAGAAAATCACACTTTTTTGAAATCTAAGATGGTACAAAATCGTACGTTTGAAAACAAACATTAGCCCAGAAAGCGACATTCCCGTTTTTGTTCCTAATCGGGTGTGTTGACTCCTGCAATCAGTATTATAGAGCGATTTTGATTTGTGTGTTTTCGTGTTTCTTACCTTCTAATTAGATTCTGGCACTGCCATTAAATTTCATGCTTCTTTACAAACCACTGGGTTCATGTGCCACCAACTTCCTTAATAGAAGAGAAATTGACAGTATTCAAATTGCAATTCGGTTCGCGAAGGCATTATTTTGGGGCTATCATTGTCTGTACTAGCGCCCTCATCCAATTTGCACGAAGGCTTAGTGTTTTTTTGTACTCATTCCGGTCTGTGTTTCCTGTTGGTGAAAAAAAGTTCTCCATTGTTAACATTCTTTCATAGCTAAGATACATTTTCCAGCGAAGGATTTATTTAAATGTTTGATTTTTTTCTGTAATTTGTTTGTGGACGTTTATGGGCTCTTTCTGCTATGCCGTGATCGGCCTCCGTAGAATTTCTAGCCGGTTACGTGAACGATTGCTTACAGCCGTAAAAATAGCGTCCAGCCGAAAATCCGATCTACTTTCGTGCCAATTTCAGCCTGGATGGAATGTGCCGCCGTGCTGCGGACTTAGTGCAGGATCGACAGATTCTTTCAAAATGAGCTCATTAAAAGGCAAAGTAGCCCTTGTGACAGGTCAGCAAGAACTATTGATAAGTAGCTTTTGATTGGCTTAAATTTATTGACCAAATATTGATGTTAACAAATTAAGCAGTGTTTATAATGTTATCAGTACTTAATTGGCAGTGTCGTATAGTAATCACTAGCCTGACTAGTAGTAGTAGTACTAGTACAGTACTAGGCCCTACACCAGTACACTATACACATCCAACGTTGTTATATGTTCACAGAGTTCAAAAGCGTTGTATTACCATAACCTAAGTAAGGCGTTCACTTTGTGGACGGGAAATGGGGGGGGGGGAATCACACTTCGGCTTTAGTCATGTCAGTGCATGAAACTTGAAAAAGCTAACTTTTTACTCGCTTTGCTGAAAAACAGAAACACTGTCCATGCACATGGACATCACACTTAACACCCTGTCTACAGTGATCAGGATTAGGTTGATCTGAAAAATCCAAGTATTTGTAACACGTCTAAGTAAATGCTTCAATATTTTCCTCCCTAAATTTGACTTGGAGTATGTGTATTTGCAGAATACCCCGCCAATCTAAAAAGCTACCCCTGGAATGATTGGTTACCTGGGTACAAGGTGAAAAGCCTTTGAGAAGAGTGTGACACTTTGACCTGTACCTGGCTATGAGGTTGATCATGTGGGGTGGTGGGGTATTCTGCAATTGAGGATTTGACTTTTTAGGATAACTGGACATGTTATCACTCAGTGAAGAACCACTGCAGGGAAAAAAATAGTGATGTCTGTAGATACCAAACTCTTCCCCTCAAAACCATTTTCACATTTTTCTTCAGACAACAAAGTCATCAGAAATTCACCATGCAAGTGCGACACTTTCATGATCATTTTGCACCTAAAATGAAGCTGAGTGATATCCTACAAATCTTAGAACAAGTGGGATTGTTACTTCCACCACACTTGGAAGGCGTGACAAACCCACAAAATGTTGGTACTGAGAGTCAGTCCCAAATATACAGACCAACCATTGACATTATGACCATGAAGTAACCTGATGTTAGATTACCCTAAAACATATAATCCTTACAATTACACGCACGACCCTCAAGCTGACCCAAGTTAAGCCTTTTTGATGTATATAATTGTAGGAGCGAGTTCAGGCATTGGAGCTGAGACAGCCAGATATTTGGCTTCTTTGGGATGCCATCTGTCTCTGACTGGACGGAATGAAAGCAACCTGAAGACAGTCTCTGAAGAATGCCAACAGAATGGCCTACCAGCAGACAAAGTAAATTGTGTACAGATGACTGTATTTTCCCTATTCGCTCC